TTCTTTTCTCAAGACGGAGGCGTTGGTGATGATGGGCGCGTTAGACGTGCTGCACCGCCTGTTCGGCTCGGACGCCCGAGCCGTCGCCGCCGCGAGAAGCGCCGGGCTGAGCGCTCTGAACGCCGCGGGGCCGCTCAAGCGCCGCTTGGCACGCCACGCCATGGGAGGGAAGTAGGTAGATCCGCGCGGACGTCAGCGGGGGGGGGGGGGCTCGTCCTTGAGGCCAATGAAATAGTTGAAGAGCGTTTTTGAGGGGGGGACGTGTGAATACTGTACGGCATGAATTGGTGGTACTTCATGGGGGAAGCACGCCCAGGAGCACCTGTTGCGGAACATGGTTTTGGAAGATGCGTTGATGCGTTGGTAGTGTGTACGACTGGAAGATGGACTCATGATTCGGCGAGTCTCGCTCTTGCTTTTCATCGTTCGAAGGAATCTCAAAGGGCCATGCGAAAGTTTGTTGTCGACGTTGCAGAGGGAAGGAAGGCGAAACAAGCGTGACGACCTCCCGCTATTTGTCGTGGGAGCTTTGGACAGAACAGGCAGCCGAACTATTAATTAGATCTCTCGAGCGAACAAACATCCCGCGCGACGGAACTTCCGACAGGTTGGCCAGGCAACGGCTGACACGCGAGGAACACAAGTGTACCCGGAGGCGGTGTACACTGACACAACGACCGTACTGCCCCAAGCAACGGGTGTCTCTTCCCGTTTCATGTCAGCGCGGTCGCCATCAAGAACACGATTTCTCACCAACGTCCAACACAATACACCGTCTCCATCCATACCCAGGAGGACATCATGGCCGCAACTGCAATTTTGCTCGAACCGCCACTGCTTTTGCCGCCGCGGAACTTTCGCGCTGGTTCACCAAACCCACCTGGTACCGTTTCCTGATGGCCTACGCGAAGGTGTCCTGCACACTGACCTCTCGAATCGGTTTCTGCCATTCCCGTCACCGTTTTCGATCGCAAAAGACATTGCCGGCTCAGGCCGTTGGATTTGGTAGCACACTCAGCACAACATTAGTAAATGCGTTTTTTCAGAAGAAACCGCTCGAATTCCGTCGCTCCTCACCATTGCTGCTGTAACGTCTGCTTCGAGCAAAGAAAAATGTACCACTACCGTACAATGGACGTGTGGAACCATATGGATGATTGTCTGCAGGGCTACTGTGATTACACGTTGGTGTTGAGTCGTCCCCGACCTTCACGTGATTCGCTCCCTCTTCCGATGTGCACACACACCGCATGTAGTCGAGAACACAGCAACCACTTGTACAGCGACAGGAAAATGCCCACGGGGCGACCGCTTAGCTGCGTATACTACTGTGGTGCAGTAAACCTACAGCGTGGACTATCGCAATATGCGAATCAAAACACCTAATAACGAACATACGCTAGCACCAAAAATGCCGAACGATAGCAGTCGCCACGTCCTCGCCGTACTCTCTGTACACTACCCCCACAGCCTTTCTTGGCCAACAAGCGACGATGTCCCTCTGCCAGCTCGGCAATCACCATGAGGCAAAAAACTGGTCGTGTCTCCGAGATGGAGGTGAAGTGTCAATTCAAAACACCGCCAAGGTGATTTGCGTGTGTCTGCTAGCTTACTTAGTGCCGCTGCATGCAGCGGCTGCGTACGGTCGCACTTGGTAGGCGCGTAGATACACGTAAATCACCTGGAGGGTGTCTTGAGAAGATCCCTAGCCTTCACCCGGAGACACGGCCTTCAGCAATTTTTGCCTCATGGTGATTGCCTATTAGCGTCGCACAACTCACTCTAACATCTAAGTCTTGCATGTTTGCATGTCGTTCGCGCTGCCAGCAGCCTGCCCTCACCACCATTCCGGTGGGGGAAGAGGCGACAGACCAGCAGCACAAGCAGCTGTTGTTTTGGAATCCTGGCAGCAGCAGCGTAAAACAATTGATGTCAGTCGGGGTACGCTCGGTGCCAGCATATTCGACGGCGACTGCTTAGCTGCGAATACTATTGCGGTGCAGTAAACCCACAGCAGTACGTGGACTATCGCAATATGCGAATCAAAACACCAAAAATGCCGAACGATAGCAATCGCCAACGTTCTCGCCGTACTCTATGTTACCTCCAGAGCCTTTCTTGGCCAACAAGCGGCGATGTCCCTCTGCCAGCTCGGCAATTACCATGAGGCAAAAAACTGGTCGTGTCTCCGAGATGGAGGTGAGGTGTCAACTCATAACACCGCCAAAGTAATTTATGTGTGTTTGCTAGCTTACTTAGTGCCGCTGCATGCAGCGGCTGCGCACGGCCGCACTTGGTAAGCTAGCAGATACACGTGGATCACCTGGAGGGTGTCGTGTGTAGATCCCTAGCCTTCACCTCGGAGAGACGGCCTTCAGCAGTTGTTGCCTTATGGTTAGGGCCAATGACGGACGGACATCGCGCTTGTAGGGCGAAGAAGGCTGACATGACAAGATTGGGGGTACAGGGAGCACGGCGAGAAGAAGGTGATTCTGCTTTCGTTAGGTCTGCCAAGGACACTGCCCGGGTGCCCTACGTGTGTCTGGTAGCTTGCTAACGACCCGCTGGTTACATATCTTCCCCTTCTCCTGAGAAAGGCACATAGAATGTACTAATCGAGATGAGGTAAGCTCATTGGACAATGTCCGTATCAGTGGCAGCATACACGGCGGATGGACTTGGCCCCTGATCAGAGTTCAGCTAGCAATCATCGTTAGGGGGGCTGTCGGTGGCCAGGGGAGCCGATCCGCTTCTGTAGGGGCGGGTGATGGTGATGGTTTTGCACGAACCGACAACTTCGCCAGTTGGGGGCTACAACAAGGTCACCATGAGATAGATACAACGAAGTGTGTTGTACACGCCGGCGCAGCGAACAAGCGAAAGCATGCCGTCACCTTCGAGTGGAGGTTCTAGTCTAGAATGCATGTGATCACCTCCGACTGGATGTTCTTTCAACGGTAAAATTTCCACTCGAAGGTGATCACACTCTCGTCACCCTTGTTTTCTTCACGCCGGCTTGAACAGCACACTTCAGTTTCTCTCGAAATGGCCCGCGCACACGCGTGTCTTTCTACCACTCGTGTGCATGCGTTGACTTGACTTACGAAGCGTACTTCAAACGTTGTGTGAAGCCCCCAACAGCCCGAGGTTCATTTGTAACCTTTACAAGCACGGTCGTCCCTGCATTTTAAGCCGGGTAGATATACGGGAACAGAGTTCGCAAGCGATTGACATCGATTCGTTTTTTGTGTTCCAATCAATGTCATGAAAATCTCCAGCACGAACAACAGGTCCGGGATGTCGACAGCCTAGTGGGTATTTCGGTGGAACAGGTGCCCGACACCGCTGCAGATACTGCTGTCTACGGTGACGATGATGAACGACTTCACGAGGGCAGTATGGCAACGGATGATAACCACCACAGCGGGAATTACAACGCCCCCTGCAGTGTTGACGTCGGTTGTTGAGATGCTGCGTTTGAGTTCAACTGCCGTTATAATATACGCTATGCAGTTCCGCCCGTGCGCCAGAAAACAATAGCAGACCTCCAGACGCAGAAGCGATGCAACGTTTTGTTTCGCAATTGTGACACGTTATTTCCGCTGCCGGTGACTACTGTAGGAAGAAGACTCATACCACATCCATGCAGCCCCTGCCCCCCTTCTGGCTGCGCGCGAATTGCAAAGAGGGTGCCGAATGCTGATCCGCCGGTAGTGTGGCCGCCAATATCCCGTGTTTGGAGTTGAGCATCGGAGCCTCAAGTGCCTTGTTGTTTTTCCGGTCTGGTCAACATGGCGCTCAGGCACAAATTACACTTGAAAGCGTCTCGGCTCGCGAAGAAGTCGTCCGCCTCAGGAAACATTGGAATGCTTGGTGGTACGACTATCATCGCTGGGTGGTTGTGGGCACGTTGATGCCGCTCTTTCTCGGCGTCATGAGGATGGTCACGAACGACATCATTTCTATGACGATGCTGGCGATGTGCCGGGTTCGGGGTCGGTTGCCGCAAGGACGCGCGGCGAGGCCGTATCACTGGCACACCCTCCGCCCGGCGGCGGTGGCAGTTGTGGCGAAGATCGTTGTGGTCGATGGCCTGAGGGCGCTGGTGTGGTGGGTGTCAGAGCAAGTTGCGGCGAACTTTGTGTCTGGCTGGAGGGAGGTCTTCTGCTGGTCGGTCGTGCTAGGTTCCGGGGCCTACATGCGCTCGTATACTCTTGACGTCATGAACAGAGTCACGAAAGGAATGGTTGCCATGGGTACGTGGGTAAACTCGACCAGTTTTCACCAGAGGTCTCCAGGGCGCGGGGCGGAGCCACCGCGTTGGCACCCATTCCGCGCGGCGACGGCCATATTCACTGCAGGGTTGGTTGCGATGATCGTTGACCGTATCGCTGAGGCGGGTGGATGGAGCGCATCAGTGGTGTGGGCGTCACGCGGGGTCGCCGTGCTTGCGGCTGCAGCGGCATTGATGGCCTGGGTGATGGTGGTGTACGTGGCGGCAGCTGGGATTTTCTTCGTATGCACCAACCGCATGACATTTCCGATTCGAATCCTTGTCCGGATCTTCGAGCTCCACGACAAGTGGGGAGAACCCAACACCCTTCAGGTGCGCGAGTGGCGACGTAGCGTTGGACCACGTCCGAACACCAATGTGCCCTCACACCAAAATCACCGGTGTTTGCTGCGTCTCCACGTTCGGGAAGAGAAACATTTACAGTTCGTTGTAGGTACGTGTACGTTCCAGACAAGGATAAGTCGCACGACAGCATTCTATCCCTAGCTCCCATAATCAAGGGTGTACGCCCACCGTCGGTGGTGTTCCGTGTCTGTGTCAACCTTTCTAGAGAATAGTGGGATCGCTCTGGTGAAACATGAAGCGTCGATTGAGGCCCAATGCCTTCGTTCGCCCCCCCCATCGAGCATGGGCAATCAATCACCTGGACCCATGTGGTATACTATCTACCGCTGATGTACCTTAACAAATATTTCGGTTATTGGTAAACCATGAGCAAATCAGTTGTCATGCACTCCAAGGGTCTTGTACGAACCCACGTGTGGTTCGTAGAGATTCGAGTTCTTGGAAGCGTTGGCTCCAAGGATAAAAAGGGACGTGTGTTCTACGATCGCGATCCCCAGTCACTCCCGNTACCTCATGTTCGTCCTCCCCCGATGTCTACGTTCCTTTGGGTTAGCCTCCTCGCTTGGTTGGTCGCCATTGCGACGTCGATAGTGTCGTTGTGGTCGATCGTGTTGTCGTCGCTGGTGCTGGTGTTGGTGTCGTTGTCAATGTCGATGTTGGTATCGATGTCGCTGTCATCGTCGTTTGTTGATATTCGTTCTGTCGGTCCTGGTGAAATTCTTGAAGATGTTTGTTGGATTGTCGTTGTCGCTTTGGTTGCTGCTGACTGGTGTCGTGCATGGCCCCAACACTTCGCCTTGTCCACGTACATGCCTCACCCGCTTGAATTGCCGAAATCCGAAAGCATCAATTACATGCCGTGCTTCCACAACCAATGCTAGAACAAAGACATGAGACATGAAGCGGTCAGATCTTGCCGGGAACCGGTCGATCTTGGGCGGAAGCCAGTTAAAACCATATCATTGCAAGCGATGATCCGACGCCTAACTGTTCTCCGCGGTTCTCTTGCCTCCGTCAGCTGCCTCTCTAAAGCTTGAACCAGCTTTGCGGGAACATGAAGCTGGCTCTTCATGTGGGGCTGCGCCGCAACGTGCTGTGCGACGCGCACGGTACCGACGCGAGCCTGAAGGCCGCGGTCTTCTCGGTACTCTCTCGACTTGAACCTGGCGACGACTACGCGCAGGTGCGTTGACCAATCGACGAAGTGCGTTTCCTCACGGGCCGAACACGGTAGCACATTTAAGGAGAAGAACGTTGTACCCAAGTGCAAACGCGCACGGCAGTTTCACAGAGGAAACCCCCCCGCCACTGCCGCTGTCCTGGCTGGCTACGTCCCTTTGCCCAAGTGCCACCAACAACCGCGCGCACCCATCCGGAGCCCTTTCCTTTCTTGTGTGCCAGGTTTTTCTCGTCGCGCGGAGTTTGAAAGACGTGATTGATCTCTCTGCACGTTTCCACGTTCGCTGACGTTACCGGCACAACTATCACGGTGAGTGTCTCAAATTGTTGGCACCATCACACACGATGGACTTGTGGCTCGTGGCTAGCCTACTTGGAGCACAGAACGTACGGCACGGAACGGCGCACTTCCTCATGGTTCCAAGCGCTTTGACATTGTCACGTCGGCTGATTAGTTTGTTTGTGGGCATGGGTCGCACTCCGTTGCCGGAATATGCGCTGCTGTCCTTGCCCTCTGACAACAATCACGTGCGGTGGACACGGTGACGACAGGTTTTGAAGGCGCTCGGAAGCCACTGGGAAGAAGAGGTGCGAGCGCAGGTGGTCATCGGCACCGCCTGGACGCTCTCCATCCTTCTCGATAGAAGCATTGTCAACCCGGCCAACGTGGAGACATTCGTGGTTGGCCTCGGCAACGACGAACCAACGGTAGGAGTGCTACAGTAGTGTCAGGGCCTACATAGACAAATATCCATGAGTTCTGTTTCGAATTTTGCGGCATGCTTTTGGGGCCCGCGGGGGCAGGGGGAGACCCGTAGTCCGTAGGGCAATGTAGGTCGTGTTTGGTGTTTTCGTGATGCCCAGAAATGCCTTCTGTGAACGTACCTGGCCGATGGATGATATTCTTAGCGAGAAGGACCCTCCGCGGGGCAACCAAGAGAAAGGGTTGCGTTCTTCGAATTCACGGAATCATCCCGGTCGGAGAAGGTTGCGGGCGGGTTGTTCCGAGCAGCGAGACACCCCAGAATAAACAAAGGATACACCACGCCTAGCTGCAGGTAGACCAGAATCTATTTCGCACCGAAGGCTATGAGCCTAGCAACGTCAAAGAGCACCAGCATATGGAGCAACCCGCAACGGGACTTATTTTGATGAGGCATTGTAGATTGTCTCCCTCTTTCCTGTATGTGTGTTGGACGTGTCTCTGTTGTGCTTCGCTTTGCACAGACGTTCTTCGAGAGAGCACCCTGCAACACGAGCAATTACCAGCCCCGCCCATCACAACGTAAGAGCGCAGTTGAAAAACTTGATGGTGCCTCACCGACCTGCGGACGAAACCGTCGGGTGAGGAGTGAACGTGGTGTGGTGGTTGAAATTTCGCGCGAAACATGCGTGCGTGGTGCCGTACCTAATCAAACCCCTCCATCAAAGACCTCGCAGAAGGAGCCCCTGGAGAGCATCGAAGCCCCCTGACTGTTCATCAAGCGCATGCTGTCTGACACATGCCAGTCAATGGTGTTTGCTGGCGGCTATTGCAGATTTGAAGAAGATGGGACGCTGCCGTGACAGCTTGTCGCCCGCGCAACGTCGAGGGCGTGCGTACCGCTTGCAAAGTGGGGTGTCCTCCGCGTCCCATATTCTTATGACGACGTAATCAAATCCGTTTGACACACGGAACCACCTTTCGGGTGGGAGTTGGAGGCTGGAGGCCACACCAAGTGTAACAGACACACCTATCGATGTTTCATTTTTCAGTCCAGGTCCCATCCATATTTCTGGCAAGTTTTTCGCGTGTACAGCGTCGTAACTCCTTCGAGTGCACGACACCGCATCCCCCCGGTTGGGATACCCCGTTGGCTTTGTTGATGAGCAATGATGGACAGCCTACGAGCCTTCGTCTAGCCGGCTTGATTCCCTGCTTTCGCCCCCTTCCGTTCCGTTGCCAGTTCACCCCCGCGCCTCTGACACCGTCTACACTCGTCCTTGGGATACCGGCAGGGGAGTCAACGACTTTGCAACCGGAGTCGCGCCCTCACCTAGAGTGTTTCGGAACCTCAATCAACCTCAACGCTAGGCCAGTAGGTCCCGTCACCCTTCAGCCGATGCAACGGTTCCGTACACACACAATTATCGGTTCAATGTTCCGTTCTCCTGCGACAGCCCCGCGTTCCAATATGTAGGTCTAGATTCAAACAACGATATCAACAGCGAACGCCGTACCAGAATTGGTACGTAGTTGTGCCTGATTGTTTGGCGTGCGTTCCGCATGAACCCATAAAGGCACACATTTTTTCGGACACACAGCGGCTGTTTGGAATACGCGCTACGCCTAGGCGTTCCAAACCACCTGGGTTACACTGTTGCCTTGCCTTGGCACCACATTGTTGGAGATCAAGAGTCGGGACAAGGTACCACACCTTATACCCAATAAAGGTGCTGTCCCTAAAGGAGCATTACCCCCTGTCCACCAACATAATTTTTCTCGCTTTCACCCGAGCGTCAACCGCGGTGGTGGTGGCAGCGGTGATAATCTAACTGTTCTTGACGACTTTAATTTTTGGTTTACGTTTCATGAAAAAGCGCGAGAGAGAGAGTCCTCGCCCGGTGTCCGTGTGTGAGAGAGAGAGAGACTGAGCGTGTTTTGGTGTTTCCTGGGCACCATTGTTTACCGCAAAGATTTGTCCCTGCGTGTGTTTGCTATTTATTACTCCAGTATCTTTTAAGTCCGTCCGTCCGTCGTGAAGATGCGATCAAAATATCACGAGAGGGGCGGGGTTGGTCGGTGCAGCGAGACGTACATGCGTTCGATCGGGGCGCGAATGAAGGTAGCCATCGTGCAGTCAGCGCTGCCCGCGAATGACTGATGATAGTTCCATCAAATAATCCATCCGTCACTAACACGAATTTGTAGTTGAATCGCCCCGAACAATGACATCATCACCGTGACTGACGCAACCGATCAACCATGGAATTTTCGACCGAAAGAGGAAGTTTCCTCTAAAAAAATAACCAACGAGAAATTGCGGGCACCTTTTCTCTCTGCAGGATATAATTATGTCATACTTTGATTCTTTGGAGGATGGCGACTTCAGGAACGATGCCACCATTTACCATGGAAAAGGCGCTTCGCTTCGAACGAGGGCGGCCGACAGGCTGCAGATTTGTCTGAAGCTTCTATCGGCTACGCCCGGGGTAAGAACGGACTTTGTGAAACTCGACCTGCATGGCCAAGCATTCTTTCCCAAATGCAGGAGAGCACTTCATCTGCCAATTGGCGTTACACGCAATGGCAAAGCTTTGGCTTTCGGAACGTTTTCGTAACACTTGCCATTCGGTAAGTCAATTAAGTCAGGGATGTACAGCCAGATCCAGCGTGTCGGCTGCGCTTCGCTGCGGCCGTCCTCCCAACTCCCGCTGAGCGTTTCGATGCTCACGTTCACGACGAAAACTCCACCTTCTTTTGTGTGCTCTTCGCCGTCTTGCCGCCGGGTATCAGCTCCAAGAGAGACCCTCTTCGTTAGCGAGGGTCCTCTTCTCGGCGTGGGCCTTTATGGCTGTGCGGTACGCAGGGCACTGGGTGATGCCGCTGGCCCTCCCGTCTTTGACGTCCTCCGCCACTGCTTTCGTTCGGGTGCTCCGCTCATTCGTTTGCGGTCTTCCGGCGGCGATGGCGGAGCTGTTGGATTGGCTCTTCTACGTACTGATTGTCGTGGTGACGGCAACGGCGGAGCTCTTTGGTTGGCTTGTCGTCTTGCTGGTCGTCATGGTGGCGGTAACAGTAAAGCTGATGGATTGGCTTCTCTACGTGCTGTATGTCGTGGTATTTATTGACTTGATCACTGGGCTGTGCGCCCGTGTCTGCGATCTCGTGTGGCTGCTGAAGGTTTTCGCCAGCTGCTTCTGGGCGGCGCTGACCGCTATCTCCGTCACCAGCAGACTCCCGTGGCTCTATTTCCGGCGGAAATGAAAAAGGTTGTGCGCAAGGGAAAATATTGTCTGACAGGAACACGGGGTACGCTAGAGGGCCACATCCGTGTTGTTCGACCAACTTTTTTCACACCGGTGTACTAGTGTCAATCTATTTTGCGAACCCCCCAACAAAATTAGCTCGCGTCGGCAAGAAAGGGTGCTTCGTGGGGATGTGCTGCTAAGGGCAGAAGAAAATTCCTATTCTTACACGTACGCGTGGCATGCAGACGCGTATTTGGTTCGTTTTTGACTCGGGGAGCCTCTCTTTCACCTCCGCGTGGTTGGCCTTGTCCCATAATTTGTCTTTGTTCACCCGACTTGCGTCATTTTCTGGGTACATGAATGACATGTCTCTCCAGGCTTCATGTCGGGATGAAACTCTCTTCACTTTCACTCCAAGCGACGTTTGGTATTTAGGGATTGCCTCCTCGGGCCGAATAAAATCGTTGAGGCGCCGTTGATGGGGACACACCGCAGTGCAACATGAAATGGCCGTCCTACCTGGAGGGAGCACGTCCATGAGCACCTGCTCAGCATGATTTCGGAAGATGCGTATACTTGATGTTGTGTAGAGTTAGGGTCAAACTGAAGTTGTGTAGACTGGGAGAGGAACACATATTTGAGCAAGTCATCACTCTTCTTGCGTTGTGCGAAGTCTGCTCAATGGACTATCTGAAAATTTCTATACAACGAAACGGCGTGAAAGGACGACATCTCATCGGGTGTAAATCACAATCTAGGCTACCTCTGCTCGTCGCCACAACTTCAGAGAATGTGAGCACCGAACAACTTTCACCTGATTGCTCGAGCGTGCAACTATCCCACGCGGCGCCACTTCCGGAAGGCAGACCCAGCAACAGCCGGCGCTGCGCAGAATAATCATCGAAGCCAATATCGCGAAAACAACAAAACTACATACAACATTGTCAACACGAAGAAGTGGCTTTTCGTTTCAAATGGGCCGGTGACAATAGGAGTACAACACATTCTACGTCGTCACATTCGACCTCACCGATGTTGCCACCGCAAAGAACACCAGCATCAACATCCACCTTACGCTTCCATAAATACTCAGCGCAAATGACCGCTGTGTTGCTGGGACTACACCGCTGCTTTTCCCAAGAGGGGACGCTCACGTTCCGTTTCGGCGTGTACTGATAAACACACACAGACCCCGATTTTTCCTCAATGTCATCCACTTCTTGTTCCACCCCCCCCCCCCCCC